TTTTTCGATTTTTTTAATGCAGCCCGATGTTGAAGGTTGCGCTACCGTCGCTGGATTGTCGCTGGAACGTCACGCTATCCCGGCCGCACAGATCCACTCCAAAAGGTATGTCGCTTAGTGTGAATGGGGCCTCAATTGTCCATCTGCCTGAGTGAAGGGAAATAGCCATGTGTAGGCTCAAAGTCACTCTAGTAGGAGCTTACACAGCTTGAAGACCGTTTCCCAACCCCTACATGTCAGCCCATAGTTTCAAGCATCATGGGAGTAAGGGAGGACAGTCACATTCTCCCCCCAATCCAGCAGTACCAGGTATTAGATATTTGGGTGAGAGGTGAAAGCAGGGAAGGGAAGAATAAACAGTTGAGGGGCTAGTGGTATCCTTGAGTGAAGTACAGGTTCACTTTAACAATCATGGTGTCAGCAGTCTTATAAAAATATAAGAATTCCTGATTTTTATTACTTGGGGAATCACAGGCGGAGGAAAATAAAAGGGCAAAATGTGAGTTCCGTGAAAAAAAAGAATGACGCTGCTTAAAAAACACTTCACATAATTTTGAGACATGTAAAACCCAGGCTGCACTTCCTGCTACAGGTCCAAGGCTTTGCTCTTCTTTGCAAACAGCATATTATAAAAAATTAAAAAAAAAAAAAACAACAGAAATAGAAAAATATTGTAAAATTATATATTAAAATAGTAGCCAGTTTGTAAATGTTTACCAATTTGTGTTTTGCTTGATGTTCTTGTTTATCGCCTGGCTTCTTTTCTAATTGCATTGACCGCTGACTTTTTGCTTCACTGGTCCTATGTCTCAGTAATGGCGTGGAATGTAAACTCTCTCATGTTCACCAGTTGGAACTCAGTAATCCGTGATAGCAGAACCAATGGAGCACAAAGTGCCTGGACCCCGCTGACAACATGTGAGAGCTGGTGGACTGGGTTCCCCATGGTGGGATTAATCCAACTTAATGGAAAGGAAAATGACAACTATGGAAATATTGTAGGATGAGAAACATATTTAAAGCTTAAATTTTAGCTCTGTGCTCCCTTCCCCAGTACGTGCTCCCCAGTACGCACCCCTTCCCTTGAGCAGGGATGGGCAACTCTGGCCCTCCAGCTGTGCTTTAACTACAAATCCCAACATGCCTCTGTCTGTGCCTATACCTATCAGTCTTGCAATGCCTCATGGAACTTGTAGTTCCACAACAGCTGGAGGGACAAAGTTGCCCCCCTTACTTCTACCCCTAAGGCTCTTGCTGGCAATAGGCTTTCCTCTTTTTTTAACTTCCCTTTTGGAGGGTCACATGACTCTGTGGGTCCACTTCCTCCTCAGTCTTCTTCCAGTAGTGAGCAATCCTGATGACATCAGCAACGCTCTCTCTTCAAACTTTAAAGTAAAAAATCCACCCCCCCTCCCATGCTGCTTTATTGACTTACCCTAAATGATGCCTCTCGATCCGATCATCTTCTCCTTTCCAGTAGTTTACAGGAGTCCCTCCAGCACTGGTGCCGGTCTCTGATCCAGCACGGACTACTGTCTCTTCCTGTCCCACGGTGTCTGTGCGGGAGCACGCTGCCCATGATCCTTTGCGGCCACCCGAGAATCTTCAGATCTTCGGACAGGAGCGCGCGGTGGAGACAGCAGTAGACATATGCAAAAAAAACCTGTGAGGGTTTAATGATCCTTTAACTCAGGGCTTTAGATATACTTTAAAAGGGTAAACTAAAGTGGCATTGTTTTTTTTAGGGTTTTAAATTTTTTGTCTAGTTTTACAACTTAATAAAATTATTTTGCAAACAAACATGTATGACATGTTGCCTCTATGTGCACAGTGCACGCTGGGCTGTCTTAAAAGAAAACCCAGCACAAGCGCTGCACTCATCTTTGGTGACTGTCTCACTTCTATACAATACAAAATATTTATTTCCGATGGGTGCAGTAGGGCTGTGAAGAAGAACTCTGAGCAAAATTGAAAAAAATAACTAGAATTAAATTGTGCATTAAGTGTATTTTAAAAGAAACTACCCGAGCCATATGTTATCTATACAGAAGCATTCAGACCAGGAGAGGGAGGGCACAGTAGTAGAAGTTGTACTGAAGTGTGCATGTGCATAAATGGAAACGTGTTGATTAGAGGAAAGAGCAGTGTGAGCATTTATGTACCCCTGACCCTTCACTGTCCTGTCAGTAGACAGGAGGTGCGTTTTTGACCAAGATGTGTTGAGGATGCAGTGGAGGAGGTTGGACTGTCTGGCAGGGATGTATGGAGCGCAAGACTGGCTGAAAGAATTGCAGACCCCCTGGTAGGTAACATATATCACCATACATCTAATTCAGCATATGGTGAAATATGGCAAAGTACTTTGAAAGTTCCTAAGTTTTAAAAGCATTGCATAAAACTGATGTCAGTTGCGCCTTTCCCTGTGACACAATGGCACACACATTACATCCTCTGTTTGGTCACACTTTGTTTCTCTTAAGCACAAGCATGTAATTCTTTTGTTGTGATTTCATTTTGCAAATGCATACACTGTATAATAAATCAATAATAAATTATTCTCAATGAGGGCTTTGTTAAGGGCTTTGACGTGATGGAGCTCAGACCCACACACACACTGTCATGAACCCACTGAGCTGCAGAAAACAAAGGCCGTCTCTACGCTACACGACTAAGGGTCACGCTAGTGGTATAGCAGTCATCGCACTCACTTCTAAAGAAGCTGTTCAGACTTATTTATAAGGCCTCCGATTATTCTTAGGATTTAGAGGAATAAGAGTGCCTCTAAAGCTGGCCATACACCTATAGAATATCTGCAGATTTTCTATGGTCAGATGGAAAAAGTGCCAAAGTGCCTGAACAGTGTCTGCATCCAATCAGATTGTTCAGGTATTTTGAGAGCCAGCTGGTCCGACTAGCAAGATACTGAAGCTTGGCCCAGTGGGAGATTCCTCCATCCACACAGTTTAGCATAGATGGAAGAATCTGTTGCACTTTTTTCATGTGACCATAGAAAATCTGCAGATAATCTATAGGTGTATGGCCAGTTTAACACACTTGGGTTTCTAAAGGGCTCATATAGAGAAGTTCTGGGTACAGAAAAGCATCATACAGTGCCATGTTAGTAAGTGGTCCACCTGTGCTGAAAATGCGGTCGGGGTCTGCAGGAAAAAACAAACAGCAGCAGGGACCAGTCTGATTTTGTTCAGTTGGACCAAATCCCTCCGTCCATCTTTACTCCTCAGTTCTGCT